GATTTAAGACAAAGGAAAGCCTTTAATGTATTTTCATTTGCCACAAATCTCACAGTTTTAGAGTCTAAAATTGCAAAAGAGAAATGTTTCTTCTATTTATTTTCATTGAATATTTAAAATGGGGGGAATTAAATGATACACTAGCTTGCTATCAGCATCTATGTAGGTGTAGACTGATTTAGCCAAAGCTTCTCCACTTGGACACACTCACCAAACCCATATTATAGAGTAAAATTAAATTAGGAGGACGAAGAAGGAGACGTGGTCACAAAAATGCATGTGTTAAAATGCTGCTGTCTTTCAAACCAGCGTGTTGTATTTTAACATATCCGTTCTGAGAATTATCAGCCTTTTAGGAAACCGTCACACTTGGAGACGCTAGCCGTGTTGATCATATGAGCCATTACGCTGCGTGAGGTGTTTTTTTACTGTACTTGTTCCTGGATGACTGGTTGGCTTACAGTAGCCTTTGTTTCTTATTAAAAATGGATCTAGATAGTGTGCGAGTATATTACAGGACGCAGGTGGGTAAGTCGGAACATAATAAGCCTGGCTTTCGTCGTATTGCGCCGGGCTTCCCCATCTGAGGGATTCCTTCTACGTCATCGCGACGTCTGTCTGCTCGGAGAAACAGCAGCTTTTAACCACGCAGTGCAGAAGAGGAAGAAGGCACAACAGAGCGGATCACAGAGTGGAACGAGTCGAAGGAGGGGGATCCGAACCTGAAGAGAGAGTCTGCGGTGGAAAAGGGGGCGTGGCCAGGATCACTTCAACTTTACTACATGAGAAAAAAAAGAACAAAGCAGCACAGAGTAAAAGAAACATTGAAAGAATGGAAAGAACGAGCAATGTCTGCTATCTGTCTGTATTCCAGCATCCAACACTATACATACACTGAAGAAAATGGCTCATGATACAACACGTGTAACACGGCTGCATGCACGTGAATAAAACGTGTTACATCAACACACTTGCTGTTTTCTACACTCTTAAAAAAGATGGTTCTTCAAGGGTTCTTTGGTGAGGACTGTGGTTCTATATAGAGCCACGAACACCCAAAGAACTATTTGCATGCTTAAATGGTTCTTTGCATGGTGAAATGCTTCTTCAGGTAGACGGAGATTGTATTGTTTATTGTACCTTTTTAAAAAAGGGTTGTTCTATTGTTACAAGCTTGACATCATAACAATAGCAGAACCCTTTTTGTAGAACCATTTGCAAAACACATATACAACACATTCTCCATCAGTCTGAAGAACGATTTCACCATGCATAGAACCATTTAAAGCTGAACCGTGCCACATCTGGACAAATATATTTTTTTAATCCCCTACATTTTTAAATGCTTTAATTAAATGCTATTCCTTTTAGTCTTAAAGGCTGCTGACAAAAAAGTTTAGCTTTGTCAGGAACACCTCCAGTCCAGCCTTGCACTGTGATAGCACCTCCTCATTTTGAAGTAGTTAGTAGTTTTAGCTGTTTACCAAAACATATTCAAGATACAGTTGTATAATCAACATGGGCTTAAAGTGCAGACTCTCAGCTTTCATTTGAGGGTATTCACATCCTAATTGGAGGAAGGGTTTAGGAATTTCAACTCTTTAATATGTAGCTGCCTCTTTTTCAAGGGGCTGAAGGTAATTGGACAATTATCTCAAAAGCTATTTCATGGGCTGCATGGGCTATTCCCTCGTTAATCCATCATCAATTAAGCAGGTAAAAGGTCTGGAGTTGTTTCCAGGTGTGGCATTTGCATTTGGAAGCTGTTGCTGTGAACCCACAACATGCGGTCAAAGGAGCTCTCAATGGAAGTGAAACAGACCACCATTAGGCTGAAAAAAAGAAGAAATCCATCAGAGAGACAGCAGAAATGTTAGGAGTGGCCAAATCAACAGTTTGATACATTCTGGGAAAAAAGAACGCACTGGTGAGCTCGGGAACACAAAAAGGCCTGGGTGTCCACGGAAGACAACAGTGGTGGATGATCGCAGAATCCTTTCCATGGTGAAGAAAAACCCCTTCACAACATCCACCCAAGTGAAGAACACTCTCCAGGAAGTAGGTGTATCAGTATCTAAGTCTGCCATAAAGAGAAGACTTCATGAGAGCAAATACAGAGGGTTCACCACAAGGTGCAAACCATTAAACAGCCTCAAAAATAGAAAGGCCAGATTAGACTTAGATACAGATTAGCCAAAAAAACATCTAAAGAAGCCAGCCCAGTTCTGGAACAGCATTCTTTGGACAGATGAAACTAAGATCAACCTCTATCAGAATGATGGGAAGAAGAAAGTATGGAGAAGGCTTGGAATGGCTCATGATCCAAAGCACACCACATCCTCTGTAAAACATGGTGGAGGCAGTGTGATGGCATGGGCATGCATGGCTTCCAATGGCACTGGGTCACTAGTGTTTATTGATGATGTGACGGAAGACAGAAGCAGCTGGATGAATTCTGAAGTGTACAAGGATATACTTTCTGCTCAGATACAAACAAATGCAGCAAGGTTGATTGGACGTCGCTTCACAGTACAGATGGACAATGACCTAAAACATACTGCAAAAGCAACCCAGGAGTTTTTTAAGGCAAAGAAGTGGAATATTCTGCAACAGCCAAGTCAATCACCAGATCTCAACCCGATCAAGCATGCATTTCACTTGCTTAAGACAAAATTTAAGGCAGAAAGACTCACAAACAAGCAACAACTGAAGACAGCTGCAGTAAAGGCCTGGCAAAGCATCACAAAGGAGGAAACCCAGCGTTTGGTGATGTCCATGGGTTCCAGACTTCAGGCAGTCATTGGCTGCAAAGGATTCTCAACAAAGTATTAAAAATGTACATTTTATTATGGTAAAGTTAATTTGTCCAATTACTTTTGAGCCCCTGAAATGAGAAGGCTTTGTAGAAAAATGGTTGCAATTCCTAAACATTTCATAGGATATTTTTGTTCAACCCCTTGAATTAAACCTGAAAGTCTACACTTCAATTGCAACTCAGTTGTTTCATTTCAAATCCAATGTGGTGGCATGCAGAGCCCAAATCATGAAGATTGTGTCACTGCTATGTTGAATAGCTCATCAGGTGGTTACTTTCACTACGTGAAAAAGTGAATGTGAGAGTTTAGAACTACAGAGCATGTGAGTTGATTTTTATCATATGGAAATCCAATCTGTGAATACACCACAAGGACTGTGTGACTGAGAGAGAAAGCCCCGTTATAGCAAGAGTAGGCAGGCTGTGTGGGAAGCCAAAGGAGGCGAGAGGGACATTTCTTCTGTGGCACATTAAGAGCCGTTGCTTTCTTTCAGCGTCTAACAGTCTATCTGATTCATATGATATACATGCATGGAAAACATATAAAATAGTAAGAACTTCTGCATCTAAAGATTTCACTATGTGCCCTTTATTTTATGAACTGATGTGATGAGGTTCCCAACCCCAGGCATGGAGGCCTGCTGCCCTGCTTCAACACACCTGATTCAACTAATCATCTCTTTAACAACAAGTTGATGTGAGTGTGCAGGGCAAACACTAAAAGGTGCAGGGGCCTGTCCAGGACCAGGGATGGCAAACACTGGTTTAGACTACTTGCAATAAGTTTATTACTGATTTAGAGCAGCAATAATGACTAACTACTTAACAGCTTTTGCCTCCAGCTATAGGTCTGCTATGTATTTGTTTAGATGATTAGCAGGATTGAGACCAGCCAGAGAAATTAATTAGGAGTCTTTCAGGTAATTCTTTTTTATAGCATAGAAAACTTTTCACCAGAAAAGTGACAAGAATTGTCCTACAGCTTACAAAGTGCAAAAGGCCTACTGTGCAGTACAATATTGTAAGAAAGCAAATATCATATGTTTGAAACATCTGTTAAAAAGTAATTGTCATCATAACTCATTTTGGTGTCAGCTTAAATTACCTTCTACATCATAATATTCAGTAAATATCACTCACTTTTGGAGATCCACTGAACACAACCTTTTAAGGAAACCAGTTTGGTGACTCTTTTAAGTTAAACAAGAAATTAAAGCAAATTCCTTTTAAGTAGAAAAAAGTGAGCTTTGTCACCACAATTCTGTCATCAAGCTCAAAGGAAAGCTGAGGTTTACAGCGCAGTGAGCCACAGTCAGATGATGCAAGCACTTACTTTAGGCAGACATTTCACTTCCGTTTCAGATGCACTACAGCGTTTTAGTGTTTCCACAGGGTGACTCTCTCCCTCAGCACTGATGGGGGACTGTGTTGTATATGCTTTGTGAAAATGGTTCCATGTAGCACCAAAAAGTGTTCTTCTTTTGTTATGATGTCAAGCTTGTAACAATAGAAGAACTGTTTTTGGTGCTATATAGAACCATTTTCAAAAACGTTCTATATAGAACCATATACAACACATTCTGCTTCAATCTGAAGAACAATTTCACCATGTAGAACCCTTAAAGCATGCAAATTGTTCTTTGAGCGTTCATGGTTCTGCGGAGAACCATTGTCTTTATTAAAGAACCCTTGAAGAAACATCTTTTTTAACAATATAAGGTTCATATTTGCATAGAATTGTTAAACAGTGTGTTTTTTTTAGTGTGCAATGGCAAAGAAGGCTATTAAATCTATTATATAGGAGCAGAAGTCAAACAGCTATAGTGTCTTTAAAAAGACACCTATAAAAAAACACATTAAATTTTATCAGGCTTGCGCTTTAGGGGACTTTACCAGTTTTCAACAGTCTTTCCTCATCACTTTATCATCACATCCTAAAATCGTGTCTTCCCCCTCTTTTAACTATTTTTATCCAAATTCAACGAGCTCAGCTAAATTTAGAGCAGCGAGCGCGCGGACTGGCTTTTGTCTTTTTTTTTTCTGCGTCAATGGAATCCCGTGCGTGCGTCATCACTTCGTGACGCAAGGTCCCCTGATTGGTCGGCGTGAGCGGAAAGATTCTCCGAGAGGTTCCTCCCCCCCCTACTCGGGAAGGACGCGCCTCTGACGTCACGGCACAAGTACAGCGAGGATATATAGAAAAAAAAAGAGAAAAGAAAAAGACGAGCCCGGAGAAACGTGAGAAAAGCAGACCCGGGCGCGAGCGAAGACGCCAGACTGTAGATGGTGATCCACGGACACAACAAATCAGGTGCAGCAGCTCATAATCAGGTATGTGGCTGGTTTATTGAACTCTTTTACTCTGTCTTATATCGATTGAACGCGTTGGTGTTGTACTGTCACTCCAGTAAAAGGCATAAAGTATCGAATGACTCGAGCAGAAACACAGAGTAGCTATCAAATAAATAAATGTATGAATAAAGCACCGAATAAAGGGCGGCTTCTGTCAGCATAGCAGCTGAAGTTTGTTAGGAGCTGTTCTTCTCTTTAGGGGATCCCGTTCATCTAAAATAAAGAGGTGTGAGCAGCAGCAGAGCAGTCCTGAACCAACTGAACACGATTAAATGTAAATGAACTAAATACGAAGGACTAACGTGCAAACAAGATTCCTCATAAATGGACTTGAGCAGAACTATTATCGATTGAAAATGCTGATCAAAAGATGATTGAAAAATTTTAGTGCGGTAACATGCCTGTCAGGAGACTTACGCGATCATCCAGTCTGACAACGCGCCAGAAGAGAGATCGTTAAACTACTGTAAACTACTGATTTCGCTGATTTCTGATAATAAAAGAGACGGAGGGGTAAACAGCCGTTTGGCTACGGCTGATGTGTAAATTAACTTAAAGCTCTCTGCACGAGCGCTGCACTGCAACAGGTGGCACGAGACGCGCAGTGGACCCGTGCTTGCCTGCCTAACTTGAGCTGTGTTGCAGTCTCTGGATGTGGTTGCAAGAAATAGAGAGCAGCCGATTCCATTCTGATGGATTTGTGTTTTTCTGAGTGCCAGTAGTTATTAGTCCCGAGTGTTTAGATTTAAGTCCTTTTATTATTATTATTTTATTTATTTATTTATTTATTTATTTGGGGTAACTTTGCTTTGCTCTGCTAGCATAATTAAAGTAGAATTATTTTACTTGAATATAGTTTTAGGTTACCTTATCCACCTCTGCTTGTCGCACTGTATGCTGTCAGATGCTCTTCGATAGAGGGCGCCGTTTTGGCAGTTTCCATAATCAACGAGCCTCCCCGTTGTTTAGGCTGTCTGCCTGTCATTGCAGACAAAGTTGACTAAGGTGATTACAGGAAGCCCTGAGTTCATGTTCTTTACCTTTCTCGAAGTATAAAATGGCTTGAACCTTAAAAAAACGTAAAAAGTTAAATAACAATGTATGCAGGACGAAATGTTGCAAGAACATTGTAATATGTGCAGAAAATGCCAACCTGTGAAATGTGATTAGGCTATAAAAGGGTGAATCGAATGAACCACCTCAGCTAATAGACGGGCTAAATCGATGATGGTCTGTTAGATGGTATTGCAGCAGTTCATTTGATCTTTATGTAATCTCATTCATGTCCTCTCCAGCTGGGGCGTAAATGAAAGTCGACTCTTGAGTCTTCTTCATCTAAAATTATGCAGAATCATAAGAGGTATAAATAGGCATTGCTCTGGAAGACTGCTTTCCAGGCTTTCTCAGAAAGTGCTCTTCTACTCTGAGCTGGTTGGAAAATGGACTTCATCTCCTGCAATGATGATTCCATCAATGAAGAAGCTCTTTCTCTAGGTACTTCAGGTTAAAATATTTCTATATATAAAGTGGCTTGAGGATCAAAACGATAGTCTATGTAGTTTGTCCTTGCTTTGACAAGATTTTCTTGACCCAGTAAGTTAGGGACACACTTTAAAAGGAGCATCAGAAGCAGTTTTAGTAAAACCTAGCGAGATTATAAAATAGCTCTTGTGGTTCTGCTCCACAGAAATGACCTGTGTTCAAAGTCAACATGGAGTCCAGTCCTATGAGAGCACCCTCTTCAGCTCAGACTTTCTGAACCCTGACTTCACCTCCAGGTTGGCCATGGACATGAGTGACCAGCAAGAGCAGCTTTCTGCTCCTTCCCTGCCGAGTATCACCTCACTGGTCGGAGGCTATGGGGGCGAGTTTGATTCCTACTCCTGTCAGATCTCCACTGCCACCACCTCAGGACAAGATGCCTTCAAGTTGGATGACATGCCGGTTTATGGCTGTTACCCTGGAACATTTACCTTGAGTTATATGGACGACACGCTGCCCACCTCAGGTGGCTCAAACTGTTTTGGTAGCCCAGCCTCAGCCCCTTCACCCTCAACTCCTGGTTACCAGCCTATGGCTGCCTGGGATGGAGTCTTTGGGCCCTGCTCTCCTGATCCAGGCTGCTGGGGCACAGAGAAGACGCCTCTCCACCAGACCCCTTCTTTCTTTACTTTTGGTCCTTTACCAGGGGGTGAACTTTCTCCTCTGGGGCAGCTGCAGCCTCAGCTGACTGATCAAGATCCCTTCTCCCAGAGCCCGCAGAACAGCTTCAGTCCCCTCGGCCTGGATCACAGCAGCAAGGACAACTCAGCCCTGGTGGACAGTCAGGTGTCTCCCAAGGCCAAGAGTCCAACCGGAAATGAAGGGTGCTGTGCGGTGTGTGGCGACAATGCCTCCTGCCAGCACTACGGAGTCCGCACCTGTGAGGGCTGCAAAGGCTTCTTTAAGGTCAGCGCAGAGTCTAATAGAATACAGTCAGCATTCTGCACAAAAAGTGAAGAAGATAAAATGATAATTTCATAATTTAATGTATTTGAATCTAGATATTTAATGTTATTTATTTATTGTGTGCCTTGGTTGACCATGTTGATTTGAAAGAGCTCTTGTTTGTGTTTTAGCGTACGGTACAGAAAAATGCCAAGTATGTGTGCCTAGCCAATAAAGACTGTCCGGTAGACAAACGGCGGCGGAACAGGTGCCAGTTCTGCCGTTTTCAGAAGTGCCTGGCAGTAGGAATGGTGAAAGAAGGTGAGAAATCAACTCATATTTTTCTTTACTTACCAAGAAATTGTAATTTCTTTAAATAATAAAATCCAGTTATAGTCATGAACTGTCACTATATATCATGCAACAAGATAATTTATTGCTGATAATAGTTTAACGTATGTCATTTTTGGTATTCTTGGGTCTCCCCAGTTGTGAGAACAGACAGCCTGAAGGGCAGAAGGGGTCGCCTGCCCTCTAAGCCAAAACCAGTCCAAGAATCAGCATCTGTTGCCCCTCCTGTGAACATCATTGCCTCTCTTGTGACAGCTCATATGGACTCCAACCCAGTCATTGGAAAATTAGACTATTCAAAGGTGAGCCAGTTTTGAGCTTATGCAACTTAATTTATCTTACTTTGCTGCTGCTCCACACTAATATGAGAAGAATGTCAGCCCCTTGCTGATTACATTTTTTATGTATTCTGTCCAGTATCAGGAAACAGTGGTTAGCCTGTCTGAAAAGGAGGATGCCAATGACATCCAGCAGTTTTATGACCTGCTGACGGGGTCTATGAGTGTGATCAGAAAGTGGGCTGAGAGTATCCCTGGATTCACTGCCTTCTGTAAGGAGGACCAAGACTTGCTCTTTGAATCAGCCTTTGTTGAGCTCTTCATATTACGGCTTGCTTACAGGTACAGTAAGTCTAATCTTTCTCATGATTTTAAATAAACCATATGTAATGATTTGAAATCAAGTACTATTGGAAAAAGTGCTACATGTCACAATTCCTTTAAGAACTGAATAATCAGAAGCATAGCTGCTCCATAATTCTAATAGATTTCTTTCTTCTTGTCCATTTAAGATCAAACCCAGAGACAAATGAATTGATTTTCTGCAATGGGGTGGTTCTTCACCGCATGCAATGTGTGCGGGGATTTGGGGACTGGATTGACTCTATCATGGAGTTCTCTCAGAATTTACATCGTATGAACCTTGATGTGACTGCATTCTCCTGTCTTGCCACACTGGTGATCATAACAGGTGAGTTTCACACTTTTAGCTCATTATCTTCTAGCTCATTATTACACACACACACACACACACACACATTTTCTAAGCCACTTTGTCGTGGGGTAGGGAAGCATACTGATATCAAATGCATATTGGTATTGGTGGATATTGTTTTAAAAAATATTGGCATTGCACAGATGTTTAGATTTGACTGATTTTAAACTGATATTTCATGACGTGTATTGAGAAAGAGCAGAGCATTTATGCAACGATGGGCTACTATCCTTAAATGTCTGCATTCTATAATTGTTCATGACATTGGCATTGGTAAAAATGTGCATGACAAATAGATATCAACATTGGCCCACACTTCCCATATTGGGACATTCCTTGTAACAGCATGAAAGGTGTGAGGCCTTTTGACGCAAAAATGAAATCTAAAATTCCGACCTCTTTCTGTTTCAGATCGCCATGGGCTGAAAGAACCTAAACGAGTGGAAGACTTCCAGAATTGTCTAATCCCGTGTCTCAAAGACCATGTCTCTGCAAGTGTCTCGGAAGCAGCTCGACCCAACTATCTGTCACGTCTGCTGGGAAAACTGCCTGAGCTCAGAACACTGTGTACTCAAGGCCTTCAGCGTATCTTCTACCTTAAGCTAGAAGACCTTGTCCCACCTCCTCCCATCGTAGACAAGATCTTCATGGATACCTTGCCTTTCTGAAAATAGCTGGGATGTTACATACAAAGACAGCTGATGTGACAATTTGATAACAGACTTGGTCTAAATGTGAACAAAAGTACAGTAGTACTTCGGGAGCACTTGAAGACTTCTTGTTGAAGGATGGAAAGGCCTGCTATTCTTTATTTTCTCTCTATTTGGAATGAATTTAATGAAAGATGATGGTGTACCACTGCCATCTTCTCACCAGAGGACACTGGTCTGTTCTTTCCCTATCATCACACACTTATCTTGGAAAATCTTGCAGCAGAGGCAGCATTGCCAAGTGTCCCTAAAAATTCAAGAACTGTGCTTTGTTGCAACCTTTTGGAACTGTGGCTTTTGATATGACTTTATCTACTGTAACAATCAATGGCATATTGTGATGGCGACGAAGGGACATAGTATGTGGTATCTGAGCAGCTGAGGCAGAAAAGGAATCATACCCATATCTTCATGCTTAAACAGTATTACAGCTTTGTATATTTCATGTATGTGAACATACATGTTTATGACGTCCAGAGAAATGAGTGGTGCTTAAAAAACACACCTGTGGCTTATTAGAAGCTGAAGAGGCCATGGACCAAAACTAACATTGTTTACTTGGACATGCAAAATTACAAAACAAAAGCCTTAACCATACTTAACAAAACAACACCTCAGTAATCAACATACTAATTCATATTCGAAGGCAATATTGGGCTGTGGTGCAGAAGGGCTGTGAATACAGTCGAGTATTAGGTTGAACATTGCTGTGGGATTGAGATTTAAGTCCCCGAAGTACCATGTGTCACCCTGAGTAAGCGTTTGGGAAGAGGGCTCTCCACCCTCCCATTGCTAAACAGCTCACCAGCCATTCAGGTATTTTTTGTCCTTATGGCAGAACAGGGTGCTTTGTATTCTCCCCTGAATGCACCTTCTAGGTATTTGTTAGATCAGAGTTTTTTTTTTTATGCAGTGGTTTTAGCAAACAAGCATCTTCGCATACAGTGCTGTATCTTTGATAGTGCAGGTTTGGAACAGCTTATGACAGTGATTATACATTTCCATCAAAATAGCCTCTGATGGCATCTGGCAAACATTTGACTGTTTTTTTAAGACCCGGTGCAGCTACTTTTCAAGCACTCAGTGCAGCCTCTTAAAAGCATCTTACCAGACATCTCTGAGTATTGTCACTGACTAATGAATTTGTTTAGCGTGCCAGCCAAAATTTAGATTATACATATTTGTATGTATTGTATGTATAGAGATGACTAGATATTCTATATATTTTGTCTTCAGAAGAGAAAAGGTTTGGGCATTATGATGTTTTTTGATATTTTTTATATTCCTAGATATACTTTATCTTTCATTACAAATGTTGTTCAGCATTATACATAAAGTGAACATGAACAATCGATGTCATGTATTTCAGTCTTTTTTATCCCACGCACAAAATAAAAGCACACTTAAATGGTCATTTGTTCTTTGGGATTGGGATAAGACAAGAAGCGAGCCAGTAGCTCTGCGCAAAGATTTTTGATTAAATAAAAGCAAAACCCAAACAGTCATGACTGGTGACATATTCTGTTTTTTTGCATGCAATTCCTCATGCACAATGTGAGCAATGTTGACTTCATCCAGTTACTTCTCCTTTCGTTTGTTAGTGAGACAATGTGTCCTAACAGCACTTTTCACCCTTTCAGAGCATGACACTTTTGTCCTAGTGAAAGGATCAATTCATCACGTACTGTAGTGATACATTTGGTCCAGAAAACACCCATAATTAAACCAAGGATATGCTATGAGGAGCGCTTACGTTGACTTCATCATTGTGTTTAGGATGGATCAAAATCGGCCTTTTAGTTTCTTTGTTGTCGCAAGTCTTTTTGTCCAAGATTATTCAGGTGGTACATTGCAACTTCAGCCCATTAGATTCACAGACCTTGAATACTGACAAGACACCAGCAATAATATACGACAGGGGTGTTTAATTCCAGTCCTGCAGGGACAGTTTCCAGCAGTTCCCGCTTCAACAAAAATGGTCCAACTTATCTGTTGATTTTCAGTTTTAGTAGGTGTCTTTGAGCAGGGAAATCACCAAATTCTTCTGAACACTGGCACAGACTAGAATTGAATACCCCTGACACATGCCTTCACAAGCTTTAGCCACTTGCCATGTTCCTGTCATTTGTAAAAGTCATAAAGGTTCCCAGTGACAGAAATAATACAAAAACTGACTAAATGTGAAAAGTGAGTTTGTGCAACGTTTCAGTTGTTGAGAAGATGATCTGCGGCCTGCAGCAGCCCATCCCTCCCCCAGTGCATGTCTGTAAGTGAGTAACACTCCTCTTATCAAGTTTCACCCAGCTGATTTCATCACCAAGTCATAAGACTGACTTTGACTTCGAGGCATGGGGGCTCCAAGCATGTTACACACCTTCTAATAAAGGGGGAAATTATGAACGATGAGCCATAGGTGTCTCTAGTGACATGTTCAGTTACAACCAATGTAGATTAGCAACTTGTTGCCTTTTTTAAAACAAACTCGCAGAGGTGGTTTCAGACAAGCAGACCCTTCCAGCGGCTGACCCAGTCACACCATGCAGCATGGGTGTCGCATGTCCCCTCGGGAACATGAAATTCTGTGGCCTAATTTTGGGCCACTGTAATTTGCGCCGATGACACCACAACTGATGAGGAGAGCCACGCACGTTGTGAATGTCATCTATAAAGGAACTGCCTTCATGGTGTGCATTCAGTACAGGCCAGGGGCTTTGGGGGTTCAGGGAGGACCCCCCCAATGTCACAGGGGAAGTTAGGAGTTATAACTGGTTATGCAAAACACCTTGGCAGTCTGGGTTTCATATTCAGAGCCAATGTGTTGGTTAAAATGTTATAAAGAAAACAATACAGTTTCAAAGACGTGATGGTATATTAGTCTAGCTGTTAATTACTTTTATTATGACAATTATCACTTTAGTGTATTTGTATTTTACTATGCAAAAAAGTGCACAAAATGTGTAGTGTTTATACTGAAATCATTATCATTCCACCTGTGATGAAAAACCTTCCCATGTATTATGCATGCCATTTATTTAACTACACATTATAGTTTACAATTGTATGTTAGGGTACCATATATAAGTCTAATTATGATTTAATATATGTAACCATGAGGTGTATATGCAGCCATTCAGTATAATTTATTAATTTTTCAGTGTCAAGAAAAAAGGAGAAAACATATTTAACAGAAAACTACACAAAAACTCAATAACTAAATATGATCTCAGAATTTCCAGTATTCACTGGGTCCATCCTTTCTCCTTCCATTCTTTTCAGGAGACTTGCTTTCAGTTTTCCAAAGAAATCTTATACAGTACAAGAAAAGTGCTTACCTCATAAAATTTCATCACAAGTAGATGCACTTAGAAACTGTAAACAGGTGTATGATTCACATTTGCTGATGAGTCTGTTTTACATTATTAACGAGTGATGCAGTGACGCAATCTGCAGTTTGAACTTTGTGAATCTGAGACTTCTCGTCACTTTGGCCTAGAGCTGTTGTCTTTTGTGAATATGAATCAGTGAGAGTTTCCACCCTCTGCTGTTGTAAGAGGCTTGAAGGGAGATATGGGGAGTGACAGAGGAAATCCTATGGTGGGTATTTATAGCTCATCATTGTGGTTCAGTAACTTGATCTGCTGCCTTCATAAAGCAACAGAGCACGATTCTGACATGGAAACGTACATATGCCCATCCTTACAACAGATTCAACACTTGTGGACATGATAGATTATTTTAAACACTAATTAGACATCACAAGACAATTGTCACTCAACAGATAAGCCATAGGCATAGACACTGACAATGACACCTCAACAAACCAAAATAAAAATGAACACAGTTAAGCAACAGATTCAAGGTCTGCGCCATGCAAATAAACATGAAGTCTTTGAGAAGTTTGCACATAAAACAGTCTACAGCTATTAAATTATATAGCTTATAGTTTAATTTGCTAGCTATTAATTGCCAAAGGAGAAAAACAGTGCAAATAACATAAATAATAAGTGAATAGGGATCTACATAGGGATTTTTATTCTCTTATTCTCTAAATCTGTCACTGACTTAAAGTACATTCTTAACTCTTAGGCTGTTGAAAGTGGTGACCTGTTATGAAATTTTCTGTCTGGTATGGCAACCTAATAAGAGCATCTGAAGGACATGGCAGCTCTCTAATAAAAAAATACCATAGCTCATCCAGAAGGAGTAACTGGATAAAGTCACTATCACTCCGATTACAGCTGTTATGTGAATGCAACGTACAAAAATAAACCTGCAGCTTCCATGACTGGTCTGTGCTGTGCTAGGCAGACATTCGTACACACAGCACAGCACACACTACACGCAAAAAATACAGACAATTTGCCCTCTCAAAAGGACTAAAATTACAAAGGAGGCCTCTGACCCCCCTCAACCCTGCAGGCAACCTCGCATACTCACTCTTGGGGACGTGAGAGGATGAGAATTCTGGGATAATAAAAGAGAGTGACAGCAGAGCTTGGGTTGCAGGGCCACGAGTCTTGGCAACGGGCCTAAAACTTCTTCATGGTTGCACTTCCAGTCAGTCCAGGGGCTAAAAGGCCGAGCCAGAGAACCTAACCAATACACAGGTGCTGCTCACGTGATTACCTTCACGGTTGATGGACCAGACCAAAGTGAAGGGGACTTTCTGTAATGTTGTCAAAATTGCTTCTTCAAAACCTTATTAAGTTCCTCTTCAAAACAGGAAAACCTGTTCAGCCTGAACCCTTCAAAGCTATGAGATACACCCTGAATATGGGCACTGACCATGTAATGTGCACTATACGCTATATTCTTACAGTATACAATACATGGCATGTCCTTTCAATTTATTGCATATCCTTACACTATGTGCTATATTCTCTTTATGTTCTCTTTATGCTTACACTAAGCACTATATTCTTACATTATACACTATAATCTTACATATGCACTATGTTCTTACACTACACACCAGGGTTTCTCAACCACTGGTCCGAGGACCACAAGTGAGCCGTGCAGCACCCCTTGGTGGTCCATGAGGGGAGCTGAGGGGAGCCAGTGGTCCGTAGTAGGCCTGAGATGGCATTTTGTCATGGACTTGTCATGGAAAATAATGGACTTAACAACATTAATACAAGCCCCACAATAACAGTGCACAAAGGCAGCTTCATAAATTTTTTTTGCCCTTTGCTTCTAGAAACACGTGACCTTTCACTTGTACCCTCGCACCAATATTCTGCTGATATTTTGTGTTCACTGATACACATCTTGATGATCACATATTGCAAGAGTAACCCCGCCCCGCAAAAAAAATTCACTGTGTTAAAAATATCATAAATGATGTTCTTAACCAAAAATATTGAGTTTTGTTTTCTTGCAGGCCTTTAGCCTTTCTAGTGTTAAACAGGTGGGCCTTGAGGTGGAAAAGGTTGAGGACCTGTGCTATACACTATGTTCTAACACCATACTTCATGTTTTTCACTACACACCAGGTACTATATTCTTACACCATACAGACTAACACTAGCTGAAATGCAACAAAAATACTTTAGAAAAAATTTGTGTTATGTATAACCACATAAAATTAAATATCTGCTGCTAGCTGCTAGGAGCAAGCTGCTAACAACCTACTTTTAACTGATGTCTGGAACACTCACTGTTTCATTTTTTATAATCATGGTAAATGACTACTTGTTAACTAGTCAGATACTTTTTTGTTTGAATAACTACTTGACTATCTAGAGCCTAAAATCTTGTAAGACTGTATTGTCTTAAACTGAATACTAGCACCTTGCACTAAATGGAAATGACAAATGACTGGACCATAGGAACCTCATGTCTCTAAATGCTATCTCAGTATATTTGAAGAGCTTTATAATGCATGGTTGTGATATATAGATCAAAATACAACATTTTATTCCTGTGGCCCTGTAAGGCCCTGCAAATGAAAATTATTGATGCAAATATCTTCGTTTATCATTCCCATCTTGATGGCTTTGGCTGCAGGGCATCATCACTCAGGAACAGACTTCAGGCCAAATGTCTGTTTTTTCTGTAGACACAAATCACATAGTCATGTGTTTTCTTGTCAAATCATTTAAACACATATCAATCATAGAGAATCTCCTTTGACAGCATATTTCAGTTTGGGTTTGTAAAACAAGTATTTTCTCCAGCCATTTGGGCAGCAGCGACCAGCTTTCAAAGCAACATATGGATGCAGTAGATCTTAAATTATTAGTATATTTCTGTACGTACTGCACCATATAATGCTGTTAAACTGGTTCACACTGAGTTGCATGTATGCCATTGTGCAGATGCTGTTTGATACAGTAGTGATTTCCCACTATGCTGCATAGCTTAGTATTTTCCCTACATTGTTGCACCCAGTAACACATATCAAACATACATTTT